CTTGGTGCATGGGTCGACACTCAACCACTGAGCCACACTGGCTGGGCTCTCTTTTGTTTTCTTCTCAGCTTGCCCTTTCCTAATTTTACAAATAAATCCAAAAGACCCTTTTTATTTTAAGAATGTTCCTGATGGTCACTCTCTGAAAACAAAGCTAAAAACCCTATTCATAGGAAGGAGCAGAGTTGCCAGACTTCCAAAGGAACTTTCTCCCTGTCTGTGGAGCCCATCTCTCCTTTCCATGGTGCTCAGCAGCCTCTCTGATGAGAACAGGTGTTAAGCATCTATTTTGGGTCAGGTTCTGTGCTGATCATGATTTTACATTCACTGTCCTATTTATTACTACAGGCCACAAGAATTCAGATTCCCTTTATTTTCACTGATGAGGAAACTGATGCTTAGAGGATTAGATAACTAGTCCATGCTCAGATGGTTCTCAAGCTGCTGACCCAGGGTACCCGCCCAGAGCTTTGTTTTCAAGGCTTTCCTTTTCACAAGAGTGGCGTCAGCCTCAACATAGCTTTAGGCTGGCACTCTTGCTGGGCCATTTATTCATTTCAACAACACATGTGCACCAGGAGGACTATGGTGGTTGAGAGTTACAGCTTAGCATCAGACTGACCCATCTGGGTCCTTGTTCCACCCACCCCTGAGCAGCTGTGTGACACTGGGCAGGTTGTTTGACTCACCCTAAGCCTTAGGGGTCCTCATCTGTACCTGGGGGTAACAATTGAACCTTTCTCACAGGGTGGTTGTGGGGATTAAGTATCTCAGCACCATGCCTGGTACCTAGCACTGCTCAGCAAAGGGGAGAGATTCTTGTTCCTCCCCTCCAGGTTTCAGCCTGGTGATGGGGCCTCTTGAATGAAGGACTTTCCTGCCTGATATCCCAGTCCCCTACTGGAGGGTTCCCAGGCTCTAGAAGCCCAGTTCTTTGGCCCCATCCCTTCTCGCCAGCAACATCCACCAGTCAGTGGCTAAGCTATGCTGTTCTTGGCTGGAGCTAGGCTCTCAGTCCCCATCACTCACACTAGGCCAACTGTAGCCTTGTTAGTCACACATCTGTTTCCTGCTGCCTGTGGGCCTGTGTCCCTGTCCCCACCAGAGGGACACCTCAACTTCTTGGGCTCTGGCCACATCCTTTTTTTTGTTTGTTTCACATTTTTATTGGAGGCCACAGGGGAAGGGGCATCCTTTCTGTCATTGGAGCTGCTCATAGTTTCTTCAACCATTCCAAACTTGGCTCCTGGGGGTCCTGAGGGTGGATGGGCACATTGGCCATGCTCCTATCATCTCCGACAGGTACTGGGTAGTTGTAGGGTGTGACCTGGTTGATCATAGTGGCATACATGGTAGAGGGGCTGAAGGGGAGCAGAATTATAGTGAGGTCCCCCAAACTGAAGGACATGACCAGCACCAGCTCCTTGGCCCAGGCATTTTTGAGGAAGGTGGCCGCCACATCCTATTCTAACTGGGCTTTTTTTTTTTTTTACCACCTCTGTAGATAACCTAAGGTGGGAAAGGGAACCCCAGCATTCCCCACTGGGGCTAGTGGAGAAGGACCCTCAGAGTACATTTTGTAGAATGAGTGAATGGGTGGGGTGTCCCAAAGTATTTCAAAGATGGACCCAGTTTTAACAAGTTGAAATGTAAAGCCCAACATGAAGCACCTAAAACCAGCCACTCACCCATGTGCTGGGATGTAACAGCAGCTTGAGTGAAAATATGTGGTAGTTTTAATAAACAACTGATTCATTTATTTATTTTGTTTGTTAATCCTCACTCGAGGATATTTTCCCATTGATTTTCAGATAGAGTGGAAGGGAGCGAGAGAGATAGAAACATTGATGTGAGCCCAGCCAGTGTGGCTCAGTGGATTGAGCATCCTACCATGGACTGAGGTCCTGGTTCGATTCCTGGTCAGGGCACATGCCCAGGTTTTGGGCTCGATTTCCAGTAGGGGGCATGCAGGAGGCAGCCAATCGATGTTTCTATCCCTTCCTCTCTGCCTAAAAAATCACTAAAAACGTGTGTGTGTGTGTGTGTGTGTGTAAACAAACATCGATGTGAGAGAGAGACATCGATTTGTTGCCTCCTACACCCTGACTGGGCCCAGGGATTGAACCTGTAACCCAGATGTGTGCCCTTGACCAGGAATGAAACCTGTGAGCCTTCATTCTGAGTGCTGACACTCTTACAGTTGAGCCAAACTGGCCAGGGCTCTCTTCCTCTTTTTATAAGGGAACCAGTCCTATTGGATTAGAGCTCCACCCTGATGATTTCATTTAATTCTAATCACTTCCTGAAAGACCTGATCTCCAAATACAGTTACATTGGGGATTAGGGCTTCAACATAAGTATTTCAGGGTAAAGGGGGAACACAATGCAATCCATAATAGTGTTTAAACTGATAGGTTACATCATCTGCAACATCCTAAAATGCTCAAGTGGCTGCCCAAACACTAGGGGAAGTAATTCATCTTCATTTACCCAGGACTTTCCTAGTTTTAGCACTGAAAGCCCAGTGTTCTGGAAACAATTCCATCATGTCCAAACTGGGACAGTTATGACCCTATGTAGCAGTCCTTTGATGACCAAAGTTAAACCAAAGAAATACAAAGTAACTTGCTCAGGATTCTTGGGCAAGATACTACAGAAAATATATGGACTCTGGAATTAAGCTTTAGGTTTAAGTCCTGGCTCTGCCACTTATTAGCTGTGTGACTGAACAACTCCCCTCATCTGTTTTCTCACCATTAAAATAGGCTTCAGAATGGCTATCTTAAAAAATTCCTATGTGGACTGGAGAAAATTTACATAAAACATGGTTATAAATGGTAGTTGTTATTGTCATAAGCAATTTGAAGAACTCAACCATGACTTTTTTCAGGTAAGACACACAGGGTTTTCTAGGTCCCAGATCCCAATTTTGATACTGTAGCTATGTGCCAGGGCCTGTGGGGGGGTCTATCTGATTTCCCTAGGACAGAGCTGCTCAGAAAATCAATGCTAGGTTTTCATAGAGTTCTTGGATGTGTTTGATAACTTTTTTCATTTTATTCATTTTTAATTGAGGATATTTTTCCATTGATTTTCAGATAGTGTGGGAGGGAGGGGGGGAGAGAGAGAAACATCCATGTGAGAGAGACACATGGACTGGTTGCCACCCACACAACCCTAACCGGGGCCGGGGACAAACAGCAACTGAGGTACATGCCCTTAGTGGGCATCGAACCCGGGACTCTGGTTCGTGGGCTGATGCTCTAACTGCTGAGCCAAACCGGCCAGGGCAAACCCACAAATCTTTGGTCCGCGGGCTGATGCTCTAACTTGAAGAGTCAATCAAAACCATTTCTAAAATGGCATGTAAGGACCCCCTTGTTTAAATGTGACCACCCTAAACTGTCTTGGCATTCTTTTAAAAAATCAGACCTTTGACAGATGAAAAAGGTTGAAGGTGAGTGTGAACCTTGAGCTGAGTTGACATTAGGCAAAACTTTGAGGAGGCACTTGGCTTATTCTCTGAACATCACCACTTGGTTCTTAACATAGTAACCATTCCCTTCAAGCACTATATTATTCAGAACTTCTGGTTGCAAATCAGAGCTGTATCCCAAATGAGCTTTGGCAAAAGGGGACTTTATTGGATCAAAGAATGGCCAAGAAGCCATGGAAAGGAATACCAGAATCAAGGACCTGAAAGCTACCATGACTCACTAGGTATCTTGTCTGTTTATCTATCTTACCCTCTCTCACAGGCTAGCTTTTCCACAAGGCTGGAAAATGGCAGCCCACAGCTACTGATTCCCATATCCTCCCATTTCCCACAACCAGAAGACTGCCAACCACTCTCACTGGCCCCAAGTTTAAAATCCTAGGAAAGGCCCTGGCCGGTTTGGGTCAGCGGTTAGAGCGTCAGCCCGCGGACCAATGAGTCGCGGGTACAATTCTGGTCAAGGGCACAGACCTCAGTTGCAGTTCATCCCTGGCCCTGGTCAGGTCGTGTGGGAGGCAACCAGTTGATGTGTCTCTCTCACATTGATGTTTCTCTCCACCCCCCCCCTCTATCTGATAATAAATGAAAAAATGTCTTGGGTGAGTTTTAAAAAAAGAATTCCAGGAAAGGACTTTCATTGGCTCAGCTGGGGTCAGGTTGCCATCCATGGACCAATCACCAGTGACCAGTGGCATAGGGCAATTAGAGAATATGGTGGCTGAGAACCATTTGGTTGAGGCAGGGAAAGAAGCAATTCCCAAGAGAGGTGCTAACAGAACAAGGGATAATGACAGTTCTGAAGTTGAAAACCATACAAAAATTTAACAGTAAAGACCCCACATAAATCCACAAGAACACAGCTTTCAAAATCGTGTCTGGACAAGCATGTTGGAGTCCAGGTAAGTGACTGTTGACAAAGTTTTCTCAATAGTGATGACTAGTCTTCACTTCAGATGAATCAGTTACTCATGGCCCCTCATTCAGAAGGCTTATTCCTCCTTACAAAAGAGGATATATGCAGACTCTATAAATAGACTGTTCAATGTCTTCAGACCTCACCTGTTCCCAAACTTCAGGATGCATTAGAATCAAGTGGGAGCTGGTCTTTCCCAGACTTGCCTCTCACATTCTGATTCGTTGGTCTAGGGTAGAATCAAGCCTTTTTATAAGGCTCCCAGATGATGCTGATGTAGGTGATCCATGGACCATGCTAAGAAACCATGCACCAGGCCACCTGTCTGCAAGATCATAAAAATAAAGCATCTAGCACACTGCCTGGCACAAGGTTTGTGGTCAGAAAATAATACGAGAGGCCATGTAACTGGTACCAGAATCTTAAGAGACCCCTGATGGTTGTTCAGTCCTGTACAGTCTTGTGATATCTAGACCTCCCCTGGCCCTGGCTCCTGGCCTGCCAGGAGGTGTGAATAAATAACAGAAGCAGCATTTTCATTTCATAAGCACTTTGCTTTATTGCACAGAAGCAATTGAAAGTGGTCTCCAGTGAAAAAGTGCACCCTGGCATATTCAGTGGCCAGTGCCCAGCCCCACCCACTCCAGGTCTTCCAGGATAGAGAGCACTGGGCAAGGGCCTGACCACTCCTTTGGAAAACAGAAGGCATTCAGGGAAAAGGTTAAGACATCTCAAGCATAATGTGTTTCTAACTGCTCATTCATTATTGCGGTCGTCTGTCAATTGCACATACAGGAAATAAATGCACTTATTTGGAGAGGAGGGGGCAGTTTTTATAGTCAAGTGTTTACGTGTGGCATTCGGCATATATCACATTCCGCTACATAAGCTATCATAAACATAATGGTCCATCGCCTGGGGAGGGTTTGGGCTATGGGGGACAGGGTGGGGAGTGCTCTTCCTTGCTAACATATTGCTAACAGAAATTCCTGTTTGGTAAAGGACAGCCCCATCATCTAAGCAGTTTCTTCTTACATGAAGAAAAGAGAGAGAAAAAAGAAAATTTGTTATACCGACCCTTGAGCTCCCAGACCCTCCCGCTTCTTTGGCTGCTCTGGATGTTCCTTTATCCCTACCTTACTTTTCCCCCTTGGCAGCCTTGTCTTCTGTGGCCTTCTCTGGAGGCTTGCTGTCTTTGTGGTCTGTGCTAGAGGACTTCTCAGCCTTTTCCGTCTTGGCTTTGCTGGGTGTGGGGGCCTCCTTGCTGGGTTCTTCCTTGGCTTGGGCCTCTGGTTTGGGTTTCTCCTCAGGCTTCTTGGCCTCTGTGGCCTTCTCCTCCTTAGCATCTTTTTTCTCAGGTGCTGCTGGTATCTCTTCCTTCTTTGGCTTTTCCGGCCCCTTCTCTGCAGCTTTGCTGGGTTCTTTGGCCTTGGTATCATCAGTTTCCTTCTTATCCACCTCAGTCTTCTCTTTGGGTTTGGCCTCTTCCTTATGTTTGACAGAAGCTTCCTTCTCTGGAGTCACTGCTTTTTTATCTTCAGACTCTTCCTTCTTGGCTTCGACTATGGATTCCTTGGGCTTCTCCACAGCAGGTTCTTTCTTATCCTGCGCCTCAGGCTTTGGAGCCTCCTTCTTGGGCACCTCATCTTTCTTGCTGTCCTTCTCCTCAGTTTTTGGCATGGCTGGAGCTTTCTCTTCCTCTACCTTCTTTGGGGGCAAATCTTTGACTTTTACCTCCTGGGGTTTCTCTTCTTCCTTCATGGGGGACTTCGATTCTTCCTTCTTTGAGACCTCCTTTTCAGGAGATTTGGCCTCCTCCTTCATGGGAGATTTGACTTTCTCTGGGGACTTGACCTCCTCCTTGCTAGGGCTTTTGGCCTTTTCAGGTGATTTGATGTCTGCAGGGGACCTTACTTCTTCTTTCACTGGGGTCTTGGCTTCTGGGGACTTCACATCAAGAATCTTGGCCTTCTCAGGGGATTTAGCTTCTTCCTTCACCGGAGACTTGGCCTTTTCGGGGGACTTAACCTCAGCTGGTGATTTCGCTTCTTCCTTCACTGGAGACTTGGCCTTTTCAGGGGACTTGACCTCAGCTGGTGATTTTGCTTCTTCCTTCACTGGAGACTTGGCCTTCTCTGGGGATTTGACCTCCACTGGGGACTTAGCCTCTTCCTTAACTGGGGACTTGGCCTTCTCAGGGGACTTGACCTCAGCTGGCGACTTTGCTTCTTCTTTAATGGGGGACTTTGCTTTGGCTGGTGACATGGCCTCTTCCTTCTCTGGGGATTCAGCCTCTTCTGCTGGGGGAGACTTTGCTGCTTCTTCTCCCTCATCTGCTTCCTCTTCTCCCACTTTCTCCTCCTGGCCCTCCTCCTCTTTGGCCTCTTTCTCCTCTTCTTCAGTCACTTCTTCGGTCACTTGTATCTCCTCTGTCTGTTCCTCCACAATCACAGTTTCCTTCTCTGACTTTTCTACCACCTTGATTTTTTCTTCACTTTTGACCTTTATGTGCGTGGACGTGGAAGGGATTTTAGGGAGTCCTTCTGGAAAGGAGAAAGGACTTGGACCAAAGCCAATCCGACACTCTTCACCTTCCAGGAGTTTTCTGCAGAATGGATAATGGAACACATTACTATTAACTCAGAGCAGATGGATGACTTTGAGGTCTTCCTGGTTTCCTCTGAAGGTCCATAGTGTCCAAGGATAGGGATTTTGGCAGAGGAAGGTATATGAATGATGGGCACTTTGAGAATGGAGAAAGTCACTTAGTAAATCATCCCAGGAACCAGCTAGAATCTATCTTCACCCCAATGACACTGTTCTTGTTTAAAGCAGCTAAGGCTGCAACTTATGTGATAAAACACCTTTTCTCCCCCCTTGAAAAACCCCTCAGTGTAGATTGCCCATTTTAACAACATATTTATTGTCCCTCAACTAAAATGTTATTCAAGAGAAGAAAGTTAAGAGCCTGAGCAAACCATTTCACACTTATAAATTTGGGCTTAAGAGGTCTAAGAATGTCCCTATTTGAATTTCCAGGGTCTCCTGTCACCCTGTGTTCTCCTCCTTTGAGTTTTAGGAATAGGGTAATGGTAGCAGTTTCTACTCTTTGCTACTCACTAGATGTATAACTTTGGCCAAGCCGCTCAAACTCTTTAAGCCTGTTTCCTTACTGGTAGAGAGGGTCATAAGAGTCTGTACCTCAGAGGGTTGTTTCAATGAGATAAATAAAAAGGATAGGAAATAACTGCCTCTGGTTAAGTGTGGGGTTACCCCTACAGTAGTAAGACTACAGCCTAGAGTCAAGAGGTAGGAAGTGAAGGGTCAACAGATAGCAACTGGGACAAGACCTCATGGGGTCAGCTCTGCTCCTTAGCAGGAAACTGCTAAGCTGGGAGGTCTCATGATTTTCTCATGACTATCATTTACTGAGGAATTTCTCTGTGGCAGCACAGTGGTAACTGCATTACCTGAATTAGCTCATGAACAGGATTAGCTCCTCCCAATAACCCCATGACATGGTTACTCTCTTTTGTTTTGTTTTGAGAATTCTTAGAAGAGTTTATTGAGCCAAACTGACGACATGCTGGGAAGCAAGATTTCAAATTATCCCCATGTAGGTACTGTTATTATCACTCCCATTTTATTTTTCCAGAAAACACATGCTAAGAGAGATGAGAAACTCTAAGAGAGACAAAAAGTTTTAAAGGCCCCTGACAACTCAAGTACCTCTTTTGCCTCCAAAGCAGGCCTCTAGCTGGCTGGATATTGGGGGGGGGGGGTGCTTAAACCCTCTAAGTCACTGTCAGAATGAAAAGATTTTTGTCTCTCAGAAAGTAGAGTGGCGATTGCCAGGGCTGGGAGAATAAAGGAAAGGAGCGTGGGGAGTTACTGTTTAATAAACACAGAGTTTCAGTGTGAGATGATGAAAAATGTTCTGGAGATAGATGGTGATGATGGTTGCACAACAATGTAAATGTACTTAGTGCCATGTATATTTAAAAATAGTTGCCCTGCCCTGGCCGGTTTGGCTCAGCGGTTAGAGTGTCGGCCTGTAGTCCTGAGAGACCTGGGTTTGGTTCCCGCTAAGCGCATGTACCGAGGTTGTAGTGTGTCCCTGGCCCTGGTTGGGTCATGCGGGTGGCAGCCACTCGATGTGTCCCTTTCACATCGATGTTTCTCTCTCTCTTCCTCTTTTCCCCTCCCACTCTATCTGAACAAAAAAACAGAAAAATGTCCTCAGGTGAGAATAAAAAAAAAAAGGTTGCCCTGGCAGGTTTGGCTCAGCGGGTTAGAGTGTCAGCCTGCAGTCCAGAGAGACCCGGGTTCGGTTCCTGCTAAGGGCGCATACCTCGGTTGCAGTTTGTCCCCGGCCCTGGTTGGGTCGTGCAGATGGCAACCACTCGATGTGTCCCTTTCACGTCGATGTTTCTCTCTCTCTCTCCCTCCCACTATATCTGAGCAAAAAATGGAAAAATGTCCTCAGGTGAGGATTAAAACAAAAAAATAAATAAATAAAAATAGTTAAATGGCAAATATTTATGTTACATATATTTTACCACAATAAAAAAAAAGTTCAGCCCTGGCCGGTTTGGCTCAGCAGTTGGAGCATCGGCCTGCGGTCCAGAGAGACCCGGGTTCGGTTCCCGCTAAGGGCACGTACCTCGGTTGCAGTTTGTCCCCGGCCCTGGTTGGTCATGAGGGTGGCAGCCACTCGATGTGTCCCTTTCACACTGATGTTTCTCTCTCTCTCTCTGTTCCTCTCTCTCCCTCCCACTCTACCTGAACAAAAAATGGAAAAGGTATCCTCGGGTGAGAATTAAAAAAAAAAAAAAAAAAAAGTGCATCTTTATCTCTAAGACAGGCAGGCTGCTTCACTGGAAGCTCGAAAACAAAGGCTTAGCTCCTCATAAGAATACAAGGGCTCCCCACCACCCCAAAGGCCCCCTGGCCCACTTCACCTGTAAGCGGCGATCTCAATATCCAGAGCCATCTTGACGTTGAGCAAGTCCTGATACTCTCGGAGCTGGGCTGCCATCTCCCACTTAGTATTCCTTAGCTCAGCGTCCAACTGCTGGATAGCTTCCTGAGGAGGAGAGGTTACATACATGTCACATGCCAGCCAACACCTGGCCCTCTGGACCAGAAAAGCAGGGGCAAGCCATGCAACCCAAAGCAGTCCTGTCCAGCCATGCAGCTGGAGCCAACACCCACCCTGTTAAAGCTGTGGGGACCTCATTCATGGACATGGAAACCACATGAAGCAAAAATTCAGCTATGTATATAACTTCAGCCTGGGGAATGGTCTGGAAAGAAACACACCAGACTCCGACAATGGTTATCACTGGTTAGTAGGATGATGGTTGAATTTTTGAATTTTTACAGATCTCTTTTTTTTTTTTTTAATCCTCACCCGAGGACATTTTTCCATTTTTTGTACAGATAGAGTGGGAGGGAGGGAGAGGAAGAGAGAGAGAGAGAGAAACATCGATGTGAAAGGGACACATCGAGTGGCTGCCACCTGCACGACCCACCAGGACCGGGGACAAACTGCAACCGAGGTACATGCCCTTAGCGGGAACCGAACCCGGGTCTCTCCGGACCGCAGGCCAACGCTCTAACCGCTGAGCCAAACTGGCCAGGGCTTTACAGATCTCTTAAGCTTAGAAAATGCTCAGTGGGAACAGAGCCTTGTCTGTTTGGCTCGTTATTGGTCCCGTAATTCTCCAAAGTGCCTGCCACATAGTTAAGGGCTTGAGAAGCATCCGTTGTTGACAACTGAGACAATACACAGAAGTTAAATGTAGTTGAAGCTTCTCCCCTGTTCCCAGGCCCATTTAACCACTGTTTAAAGTAAATCATTATGGCTGATTTTTATTGCCTCCTTTTTGCTTTCTTGGTTTTCTAATTTTTCTATCATCACCACATATTATTTGCATAATTTCTTCAAAAGTGATGTTTTCTTTTGCCAGTTGTCTTTAATGGGGCATCTGCCAAGGCCTTCCCCAGGTTACCCACACACACAGACACTGGTTATTGTTTACCAAATGCACTTATTGTGACCAAACCCTGCTAAGAACATTCACATTCATCTCTTTAAAAGTTTATCTATATTCTTAACCTTCACAGCTCTGCAAAGCAGGCATTTTTTTTCCTCTCTTCTTTTTCATTGAAGGAATTCAGATTCAGAGAGGCAGATAAATTTCTTGGAGTCATATACCTAGAAAGACATACTGATATATCTGGTATGTCTGACTCCAAGGCCCATGGTCTTGATCACTACCACCGTGCTCAGAGGACAGTGATTTGTCCAGGGTCACCCAAACAGATGAGGCCGTCTGGCTCTCTGCCCCACCCCTGTCCACCTGGTAGGATGCGATGTCAGCCTGATGACGGTCCTCAAGCTCAGAGCGCTGCCTCTCCAGCGAGTCCTTGGTGCCTTTGAGTGCCTCCAGCTCCGTGGTCCTGGCCTGCAGCTGGCGCCGGTACTCAGTTATTTCCTCCTGTGCTGAGCGCATGGCATCTGTGTTTACCTTGGCTGCCTCTGACAGTCGGTCCAGCCTCACTGGGGGAGAAGGGAAGGGCACAGGGTTAGCACACCTGGATATGCCCAGATCCAGAAGGTGACACACATAGGTTGAGGACCTACTGGGTGCTGAGTACTATCTTGGAATGTTTAACTCACCTTATCTTGTATGATAGGCAAATAACTACTGCTCAAGGCTACCCAACTGGTGAGTGGCAGCGCTGGGATTTAAATTTAGTGTCTATCTGGCTCCAAAGATTAGACTGTCTTCCTGACTCAGTGTCCAGAAACCCTACAGGGCAGAGGGACACCCTCATTTCTGGTCTTAATGCCTGGTTCAGCTTCCCAGCAAGGGGATTCAGATGTGAAATCTGGCTTAAGTCTGAACTTGTGGCTGAATAAGTTCATGAGCCTTTGACCTTTGAAGACACGAGGGTGCTATGAGCCACCATGTAGCCACAGCCCCTTCTTTGCAGATTTCTGCTATGCAGAGCACAAGGTCACTGCAGAGCCTGGGGCCTGTGTGCCAGCTCCTCTGTCCCTTCCTCCACCTGGCTGTACATTCTGGCACTGGAGCCCCTGAGCCAATGGCAACCACATCTTGCCCCTACAAGTAAAGGGCTGCTGGTTCCCAGACCTCCCATAGCCAGTGGAGGTCTAGAGACTAGGCTACATCTCCTCAAAGTGAACGTCCTGAATCCTGAGATAGTGACACCCAGGCCCTGAGCTGGGAGTGTGGGAGGAAGAAGGGAAACCAGCTGGATGGGCCAGAAGCCTAGGATGATTTGCCTGTTTGAAGGGCAAAGCCCAAGAGAACAGAGAGGTTTGCTCTGGGAGGAGCCTTGAAGCAGAGATGAGGAGGAGACAGTCTGCTACTGCAGAGAAGTGGAAAACAAAACAAAACGAGAAAAGCCACACATCCAAATCCCAGCTTTCCTTACTAGTGCTGGCAAATATTGAGAAACCATCCTGATGGGTAAGGATTTTTACCCACTGTGGATCACAGACCCATTTGGAAATCACTGAAACCCCTGCACCCTCTCCCAAGAACAATGCACAAAGTTGTATGGTGTGTGTGTGTGTGTGTTGAGGGGTGGAGTGGGGATCATGGAGCTTCCCAGAGTAAGAAGCCCAGCTGGTCCACCTCCATCGTTCAACCCAAATAGAAATGAAAACCAGAGAGGGCAAGTGTTGGTCAAGGTCACCCTGCAGCTGATGGAAACAGCTTCAGAGCTGCTGCAGCAGCAACAGAGCTGACTCGGGGCAGCATGAAGTTGGAGGGGGACGGACTTGGGAGGCTCACCAGCCACCTCAGTCTCAGGTACCAATTGGATGTAGTGATGGTCCCCCTTGAGAAGAAAGGATGTGAGAATGCCCCACCCCTTCCATAAGTAGTGGGGAGAAACCTGACAGGGATCAGAATAATGGAGTCCCCTGCAGTGTGCAGGAAAGGGGGATGGGCAACGTTGGTCAGGGAAGTCAGGTTACTTCGAAGGGCAGAGAGTCCCCAGCACTTGTGACTAGAAAGCAGCATTGTTACGGAACAACAGAAGGAACCTGATGGAACTGGGACCTAGGAATGGGGTTACCCAAATACGGTGGGGGAGACCAGAGGAGACCCAGAGTTAAAGAACAAATATAAGGAACCTGAAAAAGGGAGGTGTTCCACATGAGACCCACCAGAAAATCATTATTTAACTAAGGGTTATGCACTTTAAATGGGAAAGCTGAGTAGCACACCCTCCAGTCCTGCCACCTCCACGCAGAGTCCACCAGCGTCCCCTGGCGTCATGCCACCCCGCCCCTTGCTGCGGGACCAGCATGGTACACCCCATCCTCCCCATTCCCGCGCACTTGCGAACCTCGAAACCACTCCTCCGACTGCAACGTGCTTTGCACCGCGTGGCCTTCGAGCTGCGCGCGAATCTCGCGCAGCGCCGACGTCACGTCGCATTTGAGGGAGTCGCGCGCGTCGGCTTGTGCCTGCGCCTGCGCGACACCGCAGCCCTGGATTTGGCTGAGCAGCTCGCCCACCTCTTCCTGGTGGTGGCGCCGCAGGTAGCCGCACTCCTCCTGAAGGGCTTGCGCTTTCTTTTGCAGCTCGACCCGCGCCGCCTCGGCCTCCTGCGCAAAGCGCGCGAGCGCGCGCGCCGCCGCCTCAGCCTCCTCGCGCTGCCGGGCCTCGTCGTCCAGGCGCTGGCGCACGTGCGCGATGTCCTCGAGCAGGTGCTCCTGCTCCAGGCGCAGCTGGCCGCGCGCCGCGCCCAGGCGCAGCACGACGCCGCGCATCTCGCGCACCTCGCGCTCGTACAGCTCGCCCATGGCAGCGCGTCCCGCTTGCTGCTGCCGCAGCGCCGCCGCCTCGCCCTCCAAGTTGCGATTGTGCGCCTCCAGCTGCCGCACTTTGTCGATGTAGCCCGCGAAGCGGTCGTTCAGCACCTGCAGCTGCTCCTTCTCGCTGCGCGCTGCCACCGCTACAACGCAGCCCTCTGGTCCGTTGCTCAACGTGTCTAGCGAGTCGGTGCTCGAGGCGATTGCCGCACCGCGGAAACGACTCGGCGAGGCCGACACTGAGCTCACGGACGTCCGCCCCCACGAGTGGAAACCGCTCGACGAGCCGGCGGCCGAGCGCGCTCCGCCTGAGCCGCCCTTTCGAGCCAGTGCATAATGCAGGATGCCACCTCCGTGCAGCGACGCGAACGGGGAGCCCAGCAGCGCGTCGGCGCCGCTGAAGCTCATCATGGCTGGAGCAGGTGCAGCTGCCGGTGGAGCGGGTGACTGCGGCTGGGACGGGGCGGGTAGCACTGCGGCAGCTCCGGGACGCCGGCCCTTTTATAGCAGCCGGGCCAGTCCAGCCCCTCGGCAGCTGCGGGGGGGGGGGGGGTGACGGGGGAGGGCCCCGCCCGCCTCCTCCCCTGCTGCCCCGGGGCTGGCCGGCTCCGCCGCAGTGAGAAGGGCGGGGCAGAGGGGACCAAAGAGTGAAGGGGAATCCGCGAGAAGTCGGAAGAACACCCCCCCCCCGCCCGGCCTCGAGGTCAGAACAAGGGGTAAAGGACTCCTAGAGTGAACCGGCGGGGACCCCCAGGTGTGAATCGGAAGACCCTGCCCCTGTTTTCGGAATTAGAGAAAGGGGAAAGGGGAGAGAACAAGGAAAGCTGATGGGAATAGGGGCAAGGTGCCTTAGGGATGGAACGAAGGAAGACTCTATAGTCAGTGGGATGAGGGGATTGCTGCATGAAATGGGGGTACAAGGTTTCCCTAATAATTAGAGAGGTCCTCAGGATAGGGGGTGCAGAGGTCTGCAGCCACCCCGGAATAGGAGAGGGAGCAAGGTAATCTTGAATGGAGGCATGGTGAATACTACAGAGAACAGAGACAGCAGACCTCTGAAGTTTCAATGTTTCCCCCCAATAGCTAGAGGGGCCACCAGGAGAGGGCTCAGGAAGCTCTGCAGCCACTCCAGAATAGGGATGGGGAACCTGGAGTTGGGGAGGGCAGCAAGGCTACTCTTAACTGGGGGAGAGAAGGAATCCTAGATGATGGGGCACAGTAGTCACAGAAGGATAGAAGGTGGGAGACCCTGCAAATGGCCCCAGCAAGAAGGACCCTCCTTGGAAGGGTCAGAGGGTCTCCTGCATAGACAGGAGGAACCCGGGCTGAGTGTGAGGGTCAAAAAACCCAGAGTGGGGGTGCTGCTGGGGACTGAGCATGAAGTTGGGAGAGCTGGCACCTGTATGGGGTGGGGGGAAGTGACAGGTATGCTAGTAGTCAGTCAGGTCAGCTCTATAATTTGCAGGCCAAATGACCTTGGACAAGTTGTGTCTCTCCCTACCCCACCCCCCTCCACCAACCTCAGTTTTCTCATCTGTGAAAGGAAGGGGCCTTGCCTTGGGGCAGGTTGCAATTTAAGACCCCTAGCTTCCCAAGAAGCCTCGGCTTTGGGAGGGGCCCCCTCTGCCTGAATTGGGGGAGGGGAACTTTCACAGGCTGCCTCTAGATAAGACAGCTGCTTTCCCACAACTAGGAAGTCCATTTTTCTAGCTTTCCCTTTTCATCTCCTCAACTTCAACTTGGCATCTCTTCCCCCGCCCCCACAACAGATAAGTGGGTGCCCCATAGGCTTCCCTTCTCACCCCCAGGGAAGTAGTGGGATGCTTTTAGGGTACCAAAGTCCCTCACCCTAAAAAGCCCTATTGGAGGATCAGGTATAAAAAGGGGTCTTTGAGCTTTATGTGTGTGTGGCGGGGGGTGGGGGTGGGGTGGGGGGGAGGGCTTTCCTGGAACTGTTGATGTTATTTCACTTTTTCTCATTTTTGGCTAATTTCAAATGCCTTGGGAGTGGGGGCAGCACTGCAGATGATGCTTCAGCACAGGGGTCAGGACCTGCTCCTTGTCAGGAAGAAAGGGGTTAACCTCTGCCTTGAAGTTGGGGGGAGAGGAAGAGGGTATACAGATCCCCCATACCTAACTGTGAGCAGAGCAGATGGGGAACTGAATAAAGGTGGAAGAATGGTCTGGCAGGGTCACAAAGGGAGCCAAGGACCCAGCCCCTTGACTTTCTGGTAGGGATCCTGTCCCATATTTTCTGTTAAATTCTCCCACATACATACCTGGGCTACCTTGCTCCTCCACTGGGAGCTGAAAGGACCTGGGGGGGATGCCAGATGCAGGGAAGGGATCTTTTAGAGTCCGTGTAGACTCTGCTATCAGATCTGAGCCTCCCTTAGGTGGTTATCTCAACCCCCACTACCTTTCCAATTTACACTGGTTTTTCTTCTGTGGTATCCCCAAAATGGGGACAGACTGATCCCTCAGAAAAGTCCTCTGCCAGTTCTTTTCTCTTTGCCTTCCACCTCATTCCCAGACCCTGGTTCTAAGCATGCCGTGAGGGATGGGGAAGTGATGGTGCTGTCCCTTTAACCACGTTTTACTGGAAGGAGAGTGCGCTGGGGAGGACGCAGGAGGGGGAAGGGAGTTTCTGGTTTTGCATGGAGAAGCAGAACATGATGAAGCATTTTCCCCCTATTTAAAGATCCAGGCATGCTCTAGTTTGTAGGGGGGAGAGGTGCTGATTTGCACTTGGTATTGGGAGGATGGAGGTGAGTGTTTTGAGGCTTCTGAGAATGGCACTTTATGGGGGGTGCTTACACAGGGTCCCCTTACTTTCACATGGCTCCCCATTTACTGTCATTCTGCTTGTAATTGTACCATTAGAGCCTTGTTCCACTGAGTCTTTTCAGTCATCTGCATAATGCAGAGACATCCTCTGGGTGTGGAAAGGCTGACAGGCAGCCAACAGCAAGGGGGAGTATTGCCAGGGGCCAGATAAAAGAGGGGAGGGGGCCAAGATGGATCTGTCAAGGCTAGGGACCCACAACCATGGGATAACAGCTGGCTGTGGATTCCAAGCAAGAAATTCCAAGCATGGTGTGGCTGGAAAAAGGACATGAGGGTGGGAGCTCTCAGCTCACTCCCTCAAAGGGCCCTTCAGGCTCACCTCCAGGAAGCCATTTCTGGCCTCCTTTACTCCCACATTTAGTTTATTATTCCCTCCCTAGTCCTCATTGCTAATCCACCACATCACACTTAATATTGTCATTAGGTAAATAAATTCCATCAGGCCCTGGCTGGTTTGGCTTAGTGGTTGGAGCATCAGCCTGCGGACCAGAGAGCCTGGGTTTGGTTCCTGCTAAGGGCACGTATCATTAATTAATTAATTCCATCAGTTCTCCTGCCAAACTTGTGTGGTCTAGAGGGAAGTAAAAATGATTCTGCCCCAATTCCTTGGGCTTCGAATCACTTTCATCTTTCCCCCTTCAATTCTTACCATTTGGAAGTGAGTAGAACAGCATTCTCATATCCTTCAAGTGTTTACTGAGCATCTGCTCTGTGATAGGCACACAGAAACACAGGTCACAGAACCTTATAAACATCTAAACTTTTCTCCCTGGGACCAGGATTCTTATGTCCTTCCCAAATCCCAGTCCAGCATTCCCCATGGCACCTCCATCAGGATGATGATAAGATTACCTAAGTGTGGGGGAATGAGAGACCCCAGAGATGTAATAGGCAGCTGGCTGGGGTTGGGGTCCCCCCTCTGAGAATTGCCCAGCAGAGAGTACCTGTGATGTGTGACCCAGTGTAAGCACATCCTTTATGTGGGGGAATCACTTCTCAGCCTGGCATCCTGTACCTCTGTGTGATCTCTCTGGGAAACAGCACATGACCACTGTTTTGGAGTACATTTGCTACTTCTTTTCTTGCTTTATTTTTCTCAGTAGAACTTGACCTTTTCTAACGTCAGCAATTCTCTTATCTTGTCTCTTCATATAGAATTTAAACTTCACAAGGGAGGGCTTTTTGTCTGTTTTATTTACTGCTGATTTACCTAGCCTTTGGAACAATGGCGGGTATATAGTAAGTGCTGAAAAAGTAGTTGTCAGTGGACTGTACAGTCGTGCTGGAGACATGGAGGATCACAGGGACATTTCAGCACCAGGCACGTGGACAGTTCCCAGCCTGCTGCACTTTTTTTATTTTTTTATCCTCACTCAAGGGCATTTTTCCATTTTTTTGTTCAGATAGAGCGGGAGGGGGAGAGAGGAAGAGAGAGAGAGAAACATCGATGTGAAAGGGACACATCGAGTGGCCGCCACCCATACAACCCAACAAGGGCCGGGGACAAACTGCAGCCAAGGTACATGCTCTTAGCAGAACTGAACCTGGGTCTCTGTGGACCACAGGCTAATGCTCTAACCACTAAGCCAAACCGGCCATGGTGCCTGCTGCACTTTTAGAGAGAGACCACCTAAGGTTGGCTGTAAAAGATGGGCTTGAAAGTGTGGCCCCCAGCCCTGGCCAGTTTGGCTCAGCAGTTAGAGCGTCGGCCGGCCTGTGGTCCTGAGAGACCTGGGTTCGGTTCCCACTAAGGGCACGTACCTTGGTTGCAGTTTGTCCCTGGCCCTGGTTGGGTCGTGCTAGTGGCAGCCATTCGATGTGTCCCTTTCACGTTGATGTTTCTCTCTCTCTCTCTCTTTCTCTCTCTCCCTCCCACTCTATCTGAACAAAAAATGGAAAAATGTCCTCGGGTGAGGATAGGAAGGAGGGAGGGAGGGAGGGAGGAAAGAGTGACCCCCAGCCCTGGCTTGGTAGCTCAGTTGGTCAGAGTGCCATCCCAATACACCAAGGTTGTGGGTTCCATCCCCAATCAGGACACATACAAGAATCAACCAATGAATGCATACATAAATGGAAAAATAAATAGATTTTTCTCACTTCTTCTCTCTCTCCCTAAAAATCACTAAATTAGCCCTGGCCGGTTTGGCTCAGCCGTTAGAGCGTCGGCCTGCGGTCTGGAGAGACCCGGGTTCGGTTCCCGCTAAGGGCACGTACCTCGGTTGCAGTTTGTCCCTGGCCCTGGTTGGTCGTGTGGGTGGCAGCCACTCGATGTGTTCCTTTCACATGGATGTTTCTCTCTCTCTCTGTTCCTCTCTCTCCCTCCCACTCTACCTGAACAAAAAATGGAAAAATGTCCTCGGGTGAGGATAAAAAAAAAAAAATCACTAAATTAAAAATTAAAAAAGAAAGTGTGGCCTCCACCCTCAGGCTTTGAGCCTCCCAGCCCCAGCTGTGTGGTCAGTGATCTTTGCTGCGACTTAAGCCCTGCTCACTCCATCGCTTGCAAACTCACCCCACACCTATTTTCCTTTTTGAGTTTGGCAGTTATTTTCTATATCTATAAAACACTAAACATCTCTTTTTCTCCTTGTCTCTCTTCCTCTT